CGGCCTCGCCGGGACCCCGACGGCGCCCCGGGCCACGCGTGGGGGGAGCCGGAGGCGCGCGCGCCCCTGCCGGCCGGACCCGACCCCGCTGCCCTGTCCCCGCAGGTGGACCGCTTGCTCGTGGGGCTGCGCTGGCGGAGGCTGGAGGAGCCGCTGGGCTTCATCAAAGTTCTCCAGTGGGTGAGTCCGCCCCGGCCCGGGGCTATTTCGGGAGCCTGGGCTGTGACGCTGACCTGAAGCAATGTGGCCCGGGTGGGGGCTGGGGAGGCGCCGCGGCGGGCCGCGGAAGGGTGGGGGGCGGCGACAGGTGGGCGGGGGAGGGGAGGCCTGGGGCAGCTTCTCCGGCCGGCTCTGCGGGGCGGAGGACTAGGAGCCAGCCTCGCGGAGTCCCGGATTCGGTCCTTCTATGTGCAAGGAGCCTCTGCCCGGGACGCTCACATTTCACTCGGGCGAGCGGACCCGGGTGTAACCTTTCCAGAACTCTGATCCTGCACATACCGCTCCTCCGTAGAGGGAGGGGACGAGGCCGGCTCTTCACCAAGAGGAAAGCAGCAGAGGGCAAAGGGGGGCGGGGGAGGGCTAACTATGGAAACCATCCGGTCCTCAGACCCACGCGGGCCTGGATGACCCTGCAAGTGGACGTGGGGGTCAGGCTCCCAGCCGGGGTTGGGTCCGCTCCTGAGGTCCTTGTAGTAATCTGTGTTCCTGAAGGGAGTGAGGGAGGCTGTGAATGAATGAATGGAACTCACCAGCCCAGTACTTTAAAAAAAAAAAAAAAAATTCAGGCACAATGGAAAATCACAGCATGGCCAAAATGTGTTGTGGTGGGATAAGAAGATAGAATCCTGATCTAGGAAGTTCTGAGTTCCAGATTTGAGCCTTCCTTTCCCAGTCGTGTGACCTTGGACAAGTCACGTCTTGGGACTTCAGTTCCCAGCGTTGGTCAGATATGGATCAGCTTGTCCCTAGGATCACTTATGCTCTAAATCAGGTGGCTCACTATGTTAGACATGCCTGGTGACCTTGAAAATCTCATTTTCCCAGTTGTGGTCTAGTGGAAATACAGCTTCCTTGCTTCACTGATACTTTAAGATATTACTATGCTGTCTGTTCTTCCCAGTGCCCAAGAGTGTAGATTAGTAATGTGGACAGGGACTGTCTTAAAGACTTGCCGGGGGAGGGTTAGTGAACTATTGCAGAGGACATTTTAAGTTACACAATCCACACACCAAATGGTGTATAAATAACTTAATATCCTCTCAGCAGAGAATTCCATCAGGGAATGAATTAACATTCATACTTAGGAGGACTGAGTTCAGAAGAACTTTGAACTCGCTGGAGACAGGAGTTAGCACCGTGTCACCAACTCCTAAATCATGGTTTGGATGAGAATCATCAAATCTGGACTTCAGGAGCAATAGCGCATGTAGGATTATCTGGCTAGCTGAGAACTTATGAGGACTACAGGACGCTCTGAGGTGCAAACTCTGGCCTTCGAGGGACTTTCCACTTTTCCTGTTGTCTCCAGAGCTGCTGATGGAGCTCTTTGCCTCCTCCCACTTCCCTGTTCTGACCCAGTGCTCAAGCGCTAGAGGCTGCCATATAAGAATGACCTTAAGGCTCTAAGTGACTCCCGTCGAGAAGTAGTAGAGCTATTATGAGCAGTTCCAGAGGAACAGCACCTGAAATGCAAGTGCACAATTTTATCATTAAGACTAGATAATAGCTGTACCAGAAATTGGAGACAGTCAAGAGCTGAGCAGAGCCTGAGGTTATTAGACTATGGACTCATCTTCCCTGGGGAGGATTTTGCAAAGTTTCCTTCTGCAGTCCTGCTAGATCTTTATCCCCAGTACATTCAACCTTTCTATAAAGGCTGCACAAAGCAAGTCATAGGGAAATGATCCAGTCTTCTGGTGGGGTCAGCACTGATGCCCTGAGAATTAAGACCTGTTTGACTTTTCTGGTCTTCAAGGAGGTGGAGTTAGGCAGAGACGTCTTTCTCTCACACTGCTAAATTTAAGGGTCCAGGGTTGGACTCTGATTTGCCCACATTACATCATGAGACATGATTTGGTTTTAATGTCATTGGTGATAGTATAAATTCAGGGCATGAGCTTCATCTGCTTTGAATCTTTGTTGTTGAGATAACATAAAAGCACACAGACACATACCCTAGAAATGGCAGTAGAAATGTCATTTGGGTTTTTCACCCATTTTCTGCTTGGAGGGATAAAATGACTACAGGATGAAAAAAAAGAAAATATGTCCTGCAGTTATTTTAATGGAAATTGAAAACTTTTGTTGTCATTGCTACCAAAAAACAAAAGTTTAACTGAAATCCCTACAGGAAAAAAGTGATGGGGCCGGGAAGATGGCTCAGTAGAATAAGTGCTTCCTTGGGAAGCACAAGGGCCTGAGTTCAATCCCCAGTTCCGCAAAAAAAATTTTTTTAAAAAGTCATATAATTCTTTTATGAGTCAAGAGTACAGTTTACAATGAGAAGAAAGATTTGTACTAATATTGTTTAGACAAGAGATCACGTCTGCATCTTGTACTCTGAATAACTACTACGAAGATAACAATATGCAATGCATTAATTATTGTAACCGTCCTACTAACCTGTTTTGAAACTGTCTCATCGCTATTTCTTTCTCATTAAAATTAATTAAAAAGTAAAAAAGATTACAGTTTAGAGTATATTTAAAATTTAGATATTAACTGATTTAACTTTAATTCCAATTCTGCATTCTGACTAAGCCTATATCAAGCTAGTAAAATAAGCTGGATATAGACCAATTATTAAGTATTAACTTTTTGTTGTTGTTGTTTTGGATTTTTTTTTTTTTTTTTTGAAATCAGGTAGACGACTCTGGTTTAAATTCAGTCACCTCTTCTGCCTTCTAGGTCTAGATCCTTAATAAATGATGACATTGTTATGGGCCTCAGTTTCCTTATTTGTGATTGAGGGCCAGACCTGGCTTAGGAGCTCACTGGGAGAAGTGTAGGTGGTAATATCTGTAATACATACCACATTCAGGAAAGGCACGGTGAGCCAGGAACTCCACGCCCTAGTGTAAGTGGTGGGTCCCTTTCCTCCTATTTCCAGGTCTCCCCTTGCCCCAAGTCTCCTCTTACACAGACTGTCCGGCTAGACTTGTCCTTCGTGACACTATTCAAGTATCATGGCCAAATCCTCTGTTCGACGGTAAGGTACAAAAAAATCTCCAACTGGCCCAGCTATTACTCCCATTTGCTTATAAATAAATTATTTTATCTTTAACTGGGTATAGCTTCTTGATAAGCATTTTGCCTGCAGGGTGCCAAAGACCGTTTTTTGTTTTGTTTTGTTATTTTCTCTAAGATCTCTGTGATGAAAAAGTTATTTCTGTGAGTTTAAGGGATTTGAAAAGATAATATCAGAGCCCGTGAAACCAAAAGGATGATTGTGGAGTAGATTTGGTAAAAATAACTTGTCTTCCCGTGCCTGCACTGATGGTGTTGGTATTCTCTGGCTTGACAGAGGATTTTCACCAGCAGGTAAGTCAGCACCACAGTGGAGCCTCATCTTTAAACTGGGAAGGTTACTCTGACATCTTTGCAAAAAAGATGGCAGAGGTAGGAGGAGGAAGGGGGCAGAGTATAATCATCACTGTCCCTGGCACTGCCGATCCAAGAGGAGGATTGTTGGTTGGCACCAGAACTCCAGAAATCCCCTGGTCTCGGGACCGCCATGCTCAGTGACAGTTCTTTATGACAGTTTGCTTATCTCAGAGCCTCGTGCTTGGTGATGGGGTGGTTTCAGTTCTTACCTTCTGCTCCCTGGAGCCTGCTCCTCTTCATAGTTGGGAAGGAAGCAAATCTGGTGTAGAAAGGTGGAGGGGTAGGAGAATGAAGGGAGTGGGCACGGCATCTTTCTCTATCCCTGCAGCCCCGGAGCACAGAGCTCCTCCCTCCTCATTTAGCCTTAGTAACTGTGGTGCACAGTTTTGCTTTAGTCTTTTGCCTGGAGCCCGCTCTTACACATCTTCATACTCTAGTGCCTGGCACAAGGTAGCTGTTCTGCAAGCGTTGAAGGAACGGGGTAGAAAGAGCAGGGAAGGAGGAGAAGTGAGTTTGAAGACTGGGTCTCAGAGCAGCTAAATGCGATTTGGGGAAATCCTTTGAGGCTTCAGTTTGCAGTTCCAAGAAATTAAACCAATGGGGCAAAAAAACCCTCTGAGGCCCTTTATACTTTGCTGCTCTAAGAATCACTGAGAGGGGCCGGCGAGATAGCTCAGCAGACTGCAGCACTTGCTTAGGCAAGTGCAGGGACTATGGTTTGATCGCAGCACCACACACCACGCCAGCCCCACCCCCAGGGCAGCCTGAGCCAGCCACAGAGTCTGAGCGTAGTGGCGCATGCCTGTAATCCCAGCGCTGGGGAGGCTGAAAGCAGGAGAATCACCACAAGTCCGATCTGCACGGTGAGACCCTGCAACAACCAAATACATTTAAAAAAATTCAGTGAGATTCTCCTCAGATTTTCTCATGGTCCACTTGTGTAGCAAGCTCTGACATCTGGCCCCATCTGACAGTGTGGTATTCAGATTTAAGTATATGTGCTTGGAGCTGGGGTTGAGCTTAATGGTAAAGCACACTGGCCTGGCATCCACAAGGGCCTGCCTTCACCCCCACACCACAAATTAAACAAATAAAGTAACCTAACATATGTGCTGGGAGGTTCAAAGGCATACAGACCATGTTTAGAGTGTCCTGACTTCTAAAGACTCAGAATAGAAAAGAGCAGGGCTGGGGAGATAGCTCAGTAGAATAAGCGCTTGCCTGGCAAGCGCAAGGGCCTGAGTTCAATCCCTGGTTCTGCCAAAAAAAAGAATGGAAGAGAATAAAGTTAACAGTAAAGGTGTTATATTTGGGGTATTCCCCCTCCCTTGGGCACCAGAACAGGTTCAGAATTATTTTTGGAACCTCCAGGTCATCATTTAGACATAGCAGAATGCTCAGTGATGATGCAAAAGTTTTGTAGTCTGCGTTGCTAAGTGTCGGACCCACCAGCATGTGTGGCACCCACTCAGCATGTGAGCACTTCATGTGGCTGGTGTGACTAAGCAAACGAATTTTAGGTTTTATTTTATTTTAATTGAATGGACACATACTCGTGATAACCATTTTGGATAGTGCCGCTACAGAAACATGAAGAAAAGTTTTCCTCCTCTTTTGTTTGCTATGGGGTAGTGAACAGGCCTACAACAGTGCCTGATGCATAGTAGGTGCTCAAGAAATGTCATGTTCCTGCAAATGTTTAGCAGTACCTACCAAGAGGCGGCCAGGGAAGAAGTCGCTCCATCACTGACTGTTCATTGGTCCAAGTTAGGAATATCTACATACTTATGAGGAGCCACTAACTAACTGGGGTGGGTAAAGACATAACAAACTGTTCTCCTCAATATTTGACAACGTATGTACAGTCTGAGACACTAGAAATCAAGCGGACTAACAAAACATCTACAAGGAATCAAAGAGCTACAGAGCCAACAGAGATGAAAGAAAAGCTAGAACGGTTCTACTGTTGTTATGCCTGGGAGCCACTTGGGGTACGTGAGCAGTCACAGTGCAGGGGCTCCCTTTGACTTCTCTCAGCTTTGTCAGGAGAAGAGCAAGCAGGGCCCTGGTACAGCTTGCATAATTTAATTCCAGTATAGAAGTTACAGAGGCATTGCCGAGAGGATCTACCACCTTCTTTATGAGGCAGCTTTAAAGATGGAGACAGTGTTCATTTGCCTGAAAGAAACCTCCTGAAACACCTCGTGCACACTGTGACCTTTACGGAGAAGTCAATGGCTCCAGCCTGGGGCTCGGCCAGGCCAGGCCAGACCATGCAAGGCAGGGCAGTGGCACTGGATACTACCCAGGGGCAAAGCACAGCTGTTGGAAAACTCAGCCAAGAGCACACTGAGTGTTACCCTCAGAGGGTGAGAAAATTCCAGAGCTGCAAAGGGACTCTAGATGATCGCCAGACCCTTCTTTTTACAGGGGAGGAAACTGAAACTCAGAGAGCAGAGTTGCCTTACTAATTCGTAACAGTCCAGGACTAGAACTCAGATTTCCATGCTCCTAATCCAGATTTTTTTCTCACTCCAAGACACCAAGTCATTAGCGGACTAACATACAAATCTATTCTAGACATTGGATGTGAGATCAGTATGTAAATTAGATGTCTTCTAGGTGCTTAATATTCAACACACTGGCTCACAGAAAACCACACAGAAAATGAACAATTAGAAGAATAAGATCAGTGTATAATAAAAATGATTACATTGTCTACAAACTAAGGACAGGTCCTCAGGAGACTGGGGCTAAGCACACACTACGGGAGGATGAGAGATTCTGACTTTTCACCTTTTCTAACCAAAGTGTGTTTCCTAGAAAGAAATTTGAGCATCTTAGGATAAGCCAATGTCATATCACTCAAAAAGGAGGTGTAGTCAGATGTGGTGAAAGGTGGACAAGAAAACAATTCAAGTGGTCAGAAACACCTTTGGAACTTAACACTGAGAAATGGCAGCATCGACAGATTGCAAAGGGGAACACCGGCAGGAAAAGAGCAGAGACTGATAAGGCAAGTGGAGAGTACTTTTCTCTGGGCTGGAGCCAGGGCTGACAGCACTGGACCAGCCAGCACAACTGCTGTAAGGAAAGGGCTTTGGGGAAGAGGATGAGACTGGCAGGACCTGGGCGACACCCATCAGCGATGTCATACCTCCACTGAGGCAGGAAACCACCAGAATTTCACAAGGCAAGGGCAAGATTCTTTGACTGATTCAAAGGAGAAATGAAAATCATTTTAGGGTTACTACAAAAGAATCTATTTTAGAGGTTGCCTCTCCCTTCAGGAGGAAAATTAACTCTAGCTTTGAGACAGAAGTTTGCAGAATTCGGAGTTACAGAGGTTTGTGGTGGTCATCATCTTAAACAGGTTATCCATGGTCCCCAATTTTATAACCAGTGAGAAGACCTGGAAAACATCCATTTCCTCTCATTCATCATCTCCCTCTGAGATACTTCTCAAAGTCTACCTTATTCATTTGGCTGTCTGGTTCAGTACCCTGTGCAGTGAATGCAAAACCCGGAACTGAAAGATGAATGGCAGTAGTAGGTCCCTTCCCAGGAGGAACACGATTAAAGGAAACCCCACTCCTTCCCTCCTCAGCATGTGCACCTGCTGCAGTCCAGGGGTGGTTCTCTGCCTTGGCCAGGTGAGGCCTTCTGACTCTCAAGGGCCTTCCCTCTTTCTCAGCTCTTTGCTATTTTCGCCTTCGGGTCCTGCGGCTCCTACAGCGGGGAGACGGGAGCACTGGTCCACTGCAACAACGAAGCCAAGGACGTGAGCTCCATCATTGTTTTGTTCGGCTATCCCTTCAGGTGAGCAGGACCAGGTCTGGCCCAGCACAGCCTCTCTCCCTAGATTAGCTGGATCTGCTTGGTCTCATTCTCCTCCAGAGATCTAAAGGCTATGCTGTGTGGGGCCGGGGAGGTGGCTCAGTAGGCTAAGCGCTTGACTGGCAAACGCAGGGATCTGAGTTCAATCCCCGGTTCTGCCAAAAAAAAAAAGACTATGCTATGTGCTGCTCCAGATTGAAATAGAACAAGAAGACTTAGGTCCTTTCTGCCCTTTAGTGACTTCAGACACAATAGCCAGAGAAATCCATAAGGCAAACACAGACATTACCATGATGTTCCAGGCCATGCTCAACCAATGGCACATCACAAAAGCTCAAACTGAAAGGACCCAGGCACTGGGGATGAAGGTTTGTAGGAGTCTGAGCAAGATGTAGCTCTCTCTGACCCTGTGCTGCATCTTCTAAATCCTAAAGTAAGAAAGCTGGTTGGTATTTAGATCTTAAAGAACTGATATGGGATGCTTGCTTGCTACTTCCAGACTACAAAGAGGTATGCGTAGCTTGGCCAGGAGGGAGAAGAGAATTATCTTTCTTGGGTATTTGGAAGCCAAGGATGGAGAAGCCTGTGTCATGGTCTCCTTATTTTATCCAATATAGACCAATGGGAATCCTAAATAAGGTCTAAGAATGAATACTTTCAAGCTAACTAGATCCCTGTGAGTGTATACTTTTCGAAAAGAACGATGATTTAATGGTTTACCAGAAACAGGTGAACTATACATACTGTAGTTGTGACCTATAGGACCCCAGAGATACCTGGAAATACATGGTCACCATGGTCTAGGGTGGCAGCAGAGGGGAGGCAGTGTTTGAATGGACTCGATGAAGATCCTATCTTAACTGCAAGGTTCCCTGGGAAGTGTTTCTCCATGCACGACCCCCATCTGGGCTCTGTAAGTATGGAAAAGAGAGGGCTAACACAGGACCCCTGCTGTGGCAGGGAGAGAGCCCCCCCCCCCGCCCCCATGCTCAGCACAGACTCCCTGCCACCTGCAGGTTACACCGGGTCCAGTATGAGATGCCTCTCTGTGATGATGACGCCACCTCCAAGACCATGCACCTCATGGGGGACTTCTCTGCCCCTGCTGAGTTCTTTGTGACCCTTGGCATCTTTTCCTTCTTCTATACTATGGCTGCCCTAGTCCTCTACCTGCGCTTTCACAAACTCTACACGGAGATCAAACGCTTCCCACTGGTGGTGAGTGAGCAAGGCCAGTGGGATGGGGTAGAGGAGCTGAAGAGATATTCGGTAGGGGTGGCGCTCAGAGCTGGACGGAAGGACAGATGTGATGGCACCTGATACCTACGCATGGATCCTCACTGCGTGCTTCTGCTCACGGAAGGCACAGAAGCAACATGAAGAAGCAGGCTCTGGGGTTAGGCTGCCTCGGTTCAAAGCTCAGCACTGTCCTTTATTAGCTGTACAACCTTCAACAAGTTACTCAGCCTCTAAATCTCAGTTTACCTGGCCATAAAATGGGTGTGAAGTAATACCTGCTTTCTAATTTTTTTTTTGAGAGAAAATGAGAATGTACGTAAAGTATCTGGTATACAAGTGTTAGCTATTACTATATCATTCTCTTTACATTCTCCCTTCTGTAGGCATACAAGGTGGAAGATAGTATAGTAAGGAATTCTCTTATCTCCTGAGTCTAGCTTCTGCCTCTACTTATAGCTAAGCATGGATGATCAAAGGACTAGCTGGGAGGAAAGGGTGGGAAGTTTATGTTCCTTGGGTTTGGGGCTGAGACTGACCAGAAGATTCTGTGACGCCTGAGGACAGGAGCAGGGTGGCCTGAGTGGCCAGATTCTTTTGTGCCAGTGAACAGATTCCTCAGGGCCATCTGGCCTCTCAGAGGCTGTGGGTGTCAGGTGAGGCGGAAGAGGCAACTGCCTTGGGGCCCCAGGATTCTCATGTAGAATGGTAAGAAAGAAGAGGGAACCACGGGGGCGTTCTTAGTGTATTTTCCATCCCTCTGCCCCTCCCAGGACTTCTGTGTGACTGTGTCCTTCACCTTCTTCTGGCTGGTAGCTGCAGCTGCCTGGGGCAAGGGCCTGACAGACGTCAAAGGGGCCACACGGCCGTCCAGCCTGACTGCAGCCATGTCTGTGTGCCACGGCGAGGAAGCAGTGTGCAGTCCTGGAGCCACCCCCTCTATGGGGCTGGCGAACATCTCTGTGGTGAGCCCCATGGCTGGGGAAGGGGTCTGGGGGAGGCAGTGCATCACACTTGTCCGGTGCTGCCCTAGGCTTAAGAGAAACAGAGAAGATGCCCCCAGAGCTGGTATCCCTTATAGCTAGAGCTAGCGGGTGCCTCTCTGCACCGAATGCCAGCCTGATGAGACATCAGTAACGAGGGGCCTGAGAGCTGCCCGGTCCCCAGGCTTCTCCCCGCGGTGCACATGCCCTTGTGCCTGCACACACATGGACACGTGAAGGCAGAGTGGAGGGCTGCCGTGGGGCTCGGGGATGGGCGCGGACCTAGGGAGAACGAGAAGGCCTACTACTGCTTGGCCCTCCACGCTGGAAAGGGCTTTGAGGCAGTGGCCACGGCTCCACGGTAGGCACATGCTTGGCCGTTCGAGTTGTTGGAACTTTGAAATTTGTCCACATTATCTGGCAAATACCAGGGACGTTGAGCTTCTCAAATGGTCACTGTCATTTCATTCACCTCAGACCCTCTCTGAAAATGGCTTGGATCTTCACAGGGCCTACGTTTGAAATGTTGAAAAGCTGGCATACCCAGGTTGCCTCTAGAACATTCTAAAACTCTTCCTCTCAACATTTATAATAGAAATGTCCACATATGAAAATTCAGCAAAATTGCAAAAACTTTACAGTGAACACTCAGAACTTAACTCCTAGAGACATTCTTTATTATATATACACACACTGGGGCTGGGGAGATGGCTCAATGGAATAAGCGCTTCCCTGGCAAGCACAAGGCGCTGAGTTCAATCCCCAGTTCTGCCAAATAATAATAATAATAATAATAATAATAATTATTATTATTATATATTCACACACCTCTCTTCATCCACCAATCCAGTTTCCATTGCATTGCAGCATTAATTGAAAACATCATCTCACACCCCTGCTAGTACTTGCTATGAGATTATTTTATTTTATTTTATTTTATTTGGCACCGGGGATTGAACTCAGGACCCTGCCCTTGCCAGGCAAGTGCTAATCCTACTGAGCTATCTCCCTGGGCCCTTTTTATTGTGTTGTTGTTTTTTTTTTAATATTTTATTTTTATTTATTTATTTATTTTTGCAGAACTGGAGATTGAACTCAGGCCCTTGCGCTTGCCAGGGAAGCACTTATTCTACTGAGCCATCTCCCCAGCCCCTTAATATTTTAAATAAACATTTGAATATAACTGATATGAAGCCCTGGTTTTAGGGAGGGAGCACCTTGGACAGCTCCAGGCATCCTCACCCCCAGGAAGGCGCTCTAAGCAGGCCCCACATGGGCTGTGCAAGGCCCAGCTGGCCCTGACTGTTGCTGTCTTGCTGCTTTGTGTGAGAACCACTCCAGGGGGCAGATTCAGCTAGGGACCCTACTAGATCTTGGCAACAGGTTGTCGATAGAGTTAGACTTTTTCACCAGGGAATCCCTAAGTGTATGATGACTTTGAACTTGACCTCTAGATCCAGATCCCTGTCCCTTGCCCTCCTGGCCTGCTGTCTCTCTTCCTCCAGCATAGTAACTCCGCCCTGACTATTTTCATGCTGTTGCTCCTTCACCATTCTCACAAACTTCCCTGATGTTCTCTGCAGCTCTTCGGCTTTATCAACTTCTTCCTGTGGGCTGGGAACTGTTGGTTTGTGTTCAAGGAGACCCCGTGGCATGGACAGGGCCAGGACCAGGGCCAGAGCTCCAGCCAGGAGAGCGCAGCTGAGCAAGGAGCTGTGGAGAAGCAGTAAGCAGCCCATCTGGCTCCTCCCGAACTGGACAGCACCTCTTCAACACCTCCAGCTTCCAGGGCCTCCCTCTTCCTCCAGCTCCTTCCCCCCATCATTCTGGGTTTTGGGCTTTGTGATGTCAGACAGGCAGGCACCAACTGTCAGAAACCTGGGCAGCCCTCCTAGTGACTTCCTGTGTCTCCTCTTGCTGAAGCCCCTGCCGGCAGGAGCTCAGGGCTTCTTGATTACTGCCAGGCCCCACACATCTCACGTAGGGGCCTACCTGTACCGCCCAGCCTCTGAGTACCAGCCTCTCTGCAGGTGAGAGCTGAGCGCAGCAGAATCCCGAGACTGGCCCCTCACAGATATTTTTCAATTGCCTGTCCACCGTTCATGTGGGCAGGCAGTGGCGGGAGCTCCTCCTGGTCCACATAGCCAGAGCCAGTGCTTCTCCCTTACTTCTCTGGCCTCTGTTTACCCACAGAGCCTATTGTGTATAAACCAGGGAAGCCCTCTATTCTAGAAAAGGGCCCTTAGAGGGACCGCATGAGGCCTGGACTCAACACAAGCAGACAGACTACAAGTGAGTTGCAACTTTAAGCAAGAAAGTCAGGAAACTTGCTGGCAGAATCATTTCTTTCTATTCACTGAGCACCCCCCCCAACACACACCCCGGCTGGGACCCTGTCCCCCAGTACTACTCTACTTCCTACAGAAGCTCCTTAGCTTTCCTCCTGTCCTTCATGGTTTGGTCTCAGCTCACACTTGGGACACGCACCGAGAGGCTAGGAGCACGTCCATGTCAGTCCCTCCCTCCCCATCTCTGTTCCCCAGCCTCTTGGTTCTGAGGCCAGACCCTTCTTGAAGTCTGTCCAGGCCTTCCTTTTATTCCCATGGGGCCAGATTGGGGCTTTGGAAGGGCCCAAAGGACCATCGTGAGGCTGAGTTATCCCAGAGCTCCAGAACATGGATAGATGGGCCCACTTTTCCCTTACCCTCTGCTCATACCTTTGCCCCCCTCACCCCCACTCCTTCTGTAGTCTTTCTTTTTTTTCCTTTTTGAGACAGGGTTTCACTATGCAGTTCAGGCTGGCCTTGAACTCACTTTGTAGCCCAGGTTGGCCTTGAACTCACAGCGATCCTCCTGCCTCAGCCTCCCAAGTGCTGGGATTACAGGCATGTGCCACCAGGCCCAACTTCAGTCATTTCATACTTCCCCTTCTCAACTCTACCAAAGGATGTACCCTCTCCTTGGCCCTCCCAGCCTCCACCTGCTTCTTCCTTTCTGCCAAGCTCTATCCCCTCCCCAGTCGAGGGCAGGCCAATGCTATTGGTGCTTCTTCACTTCGGGACCCAGTTCCATATTTGTCTTTGGTCTATTTCCTCTTCCTGACATCTCCTTCAGTCCCTCTCTGGACCCCAAGGCCTGAGAGTACTAGCTGGGGAAGGATTACCTGCCTCCTACCCACCCCAAAACACCTCAATCTGCCCTGGCCTTGGGGCTGCTCAGGGAAGGATGAGGAGGGACGAACCCAACCATTTGGCCCACTTAGCTTCCCAAAGGTGAGTGTGTCCTGTGCCAGTCTCTCCTCAGGACCGAGTCGCCCCTGTAAGCCTCCTTGCTCCAGGCAGTGCCATTCACAGTAACACATGCATTGCTGGTGTCCTTGGGGTTTAGAACCTTTGACTTAGGGCCAGTCATTTCCTCTCTGGATCAGAATTTCCCCCACTGGTAGGGGGAGTGTGATTTACATCCCCAAATTCTCCAGAGTTCTTCAGTAAAAGAAATTAGATTTTTTGTTTTCTTTTTTAGATTTTTGAGAAATAATTTGAGGAGGAAAGAAAGGAGATGGGGGTAAGAATGTTCCTAAGTTTGAAACACTCTCTGTCCTCAAGAACAAGGTGGGACAGTTTTGTCTACAGCTCCAAAGATACAGAGAATAAAGGGGTGACTTTCATTTTTCTTCAAGCCAGCCCCTGTGGGGGTCTGTGAGCAGCTTCTACCAGAACTTTGTTTGGATTCTGTGTCTGTATTTATAATTTATTTGAAATGTGATGGATAAAGTGTTCTCATTTGGGGGCCAAAGTTAGCAACTGGCCCTTCAATTAGGGAAAGCAGGGAGGGAATTCACTCCTGCCAAGAACTCCCAACCCAGAATTCTTTGGGGCAGAGATCCTTCTCCTCCTCAAGAGGCTGGATGATTCTCAGCCAATAACCTTAATTTAGGCTATGGCCACCCTAAGAGGAAAGACCCATTTACCTCATTACCTCCAGAGGGCCAGTCAGGGCCAACTGCCAAGGGCAGGGCTGTCCTCCTAGGATTCATGACTCCTCCATCCAGCACTGGTATCACTGCCTTGCTGAAGTGGGAGGAGGTGTCTGACTTCTTCAGCAGCTGCAGGAGGCCAGCAGGCAGGGCACTTGCCCTTTGCCCTGACAGATTCTGACCCTGCCAGGTGCCCACCGAGGATCTTTCCTCCACAAGTTCCCTTGAAGATCATGGTCACAGGTCTCCTACTTTTAGAATTGCAGATCAGGGGTGGGGGGAGAATGTTGCATGTTGTTTTCTGGTGCTTGTTATTACACATTTGAATAAACAGTGCTGCAAGCATTTGCCATGGACCCAAGACTGGAACCCTTCTGGGCTTTTTCCCCCTTTCCTCTCCCTTGCTTGAGTTCTTGGGACAAATACCAACATTTCTCCTCTCTGAACCCCAATAGTAGTATCTGCTGGCTGAGCAGCTGTTTCTAGCATGCCCTAGTGTGGAGATATCGCCTCTTTTGGTGGCACTCAATCCAAAGTAACTAAGACTCATTAGCAAATTTGGAGCAAATTCAAAAGGCAAAGGATAGTGGCTTCCACAGAGTGGTTTCCATTTGCTCTCCTACCATCTGTGACCTGAACGAGCTTCCTGTCAGGAGTCGAGGGCCATATGCTCCCCTCTTTACTATATGGTTCCTGCAGAGCAAACTTGCACTTCCACTCCCTTCAGAAAGACAGTCACATTCTACAGTTACCTTCCTTAGAAAAATGCACTTGGACACAATTTTACATTCAATTTCACCAGGTTCCTGGACCTCTTAGAGATCATCCTTGAGTCTCAGGTTATTATCCCATAAGTATTTAAACCTTTCCTGGATGAAAAGAAGAAAATCTGAGGTCTCCAAATTATAGGCCTTGACTTATTTGCTCCCAAACTTGGTTTCCTCTTAGCTAAGGGGTGCAATATGGGGTGAGGTGTGAGGGGCTGGGGACAAGAAAAGAGGCAGACGTTTGTGTCTTGTGTGAAAGGTGGGAAGAGGTGTTATTAGCTACAAAGAAAGAGGTGGATGATTAAGGTACTTTCCAGGCCGTAGGAAGAAAAAATGACAGATATGATGAGAAATCTTTCTAAGCCAAGCCTTCAGTAGCAGCCTTTCCAGCAGAGAAAATATTCATTAGAAAAAGAAGCCAAAATGATGGATGGAATCAGGGTCGAGTCACGGTTTGGGAAAAGGCAGTGCAGGGTATCGATTGCAGTTCTCAGGAGAAGAGAGACAGATCAGCAGAGACGCTGCAAACACCAGCAGCCTCAGGGCCACCCTAATTCCGGAGCTGGCTCTGATAGCTTTCTGTCATCTTGACAGGTGATCTTGGTCAGCTACGCTAGGCCCTACCAAACCCAGACAGCGGCACGCCAACCCTCTGTTCTGCATCAGGGCAGCGTGGGTTTCCCCCAGCGGAGGAACGACGCGGGAGCTGGGGCCCTCCCCCGCTCCAACCCCTGTGTCCTTCAGCACATCCTACAGACTCCCTCCCCTTGCCCTACCCTATTCACTGCGCCCACCTCCCTGCACCTACCCTATTCGATCTACAGGGGAGCAGAGTCGCTTCGTGGCCGCCAGCCCCGGAAGGGGCGCCAGCCAGCTGGCTGGCGCATGGCTTAGAGGGACGTCTTGGGCAGAGAGGTTTGAGCTGTGGTGCGTGTGCAGTGAGCCTGAGAGTGGACTAGTGTCAAAGAATGTGTGCACAGGGTTAGGAGGGGAGATCTTGGAGTCCTTGATCTCCTCTTATCCCCCTGCAATTGTGCATTTCGGAAGGGCTCACGCCGCAAGCACCGTAGGCACAACCCCCGAAACTACATTTCCCAAAAGGCCATGCGGGCGGGAGGGAGACGAGACCCGAGTTGCGCTTGCGCAAAGAGTGAATTGCAAAGGTAGGGGGAGAGGGGCGTGCCCGCGGTGGGGCAGCGGGGGAGGGGGCCGCGCGGCGGCGGCGCCGGGCGGGCGCGCGTCCGCGGCGGTGATGGCGGTGCGTGAACGCGCGGCGGCAGCAATGGCCGCTCTGGAGCGGCGGGTGCCGAGTCTCGATGACTTCGCGGGACAGAGCTGGAGCTCGTGGGTGGAGCGGGCCGACCTGCCCGCGGCCGACGGTGAGTACAGCCACCCTAGAGTCCGGAGACCCCATCACTGTGTCCCCTCCCCCCCTCCGGGCCCCCGCCTGCTGAGGGGAGCCGCCGACTGGAGCCGCCGTCCGGTTCCCCGGCCCCCCAAACAAAGGACCCGCCGGGTCCTAGTGCCCGCCCGCTCCACCACCTTCGCGCCTCCGGGTCCTAGCGCCTGCTCACCGCTAGGAGCCCACCCAGCCCACCTCCGTTCCTGCTGCTGCCCAGTACCTGCCCCTATATTTACTTGCCTTTATCTTTATCCATGTCTGCTGGCCTCCAGCTTCCGCCCATCCTGCACCTGCGCTGGCTCTTCCTAACCGCAGCAGTCCTCTCCACGTGTTTCCCACGCACCCCAGTTCTGTGCCCCCTTTTACGCCCCCTTGTTCCTTCACCTTTGCCCCATACCTCCTGCACCTTTTTGGCGTTTGCCAGCATGCTGCAGTGCTGCTGGACCCCCGCCCTCTCTGCATTAGTTTCCCCATCTATCCACCTTATCCATCCTCCCACCCTCCTTCTCTCCTTCAGTCCATCCATCCATGCCTCTCCAACCCTCTGTCCTCTCCCGGGCCTCTTGCCCTGCCTCTTGGCTCTTTCCCATGACCCGCATCTTCTGTAGGCCCCTGGGTGCCTTTGGGGTATAGGCCTACAGCCCCTTCTGATCTTTGTCTCCTGGGCCCCAGGGAGCATCTGGCCTCTCTGCCTTTGGGGGTGACAGCAGGCATCACGCCCCTAAAGAAGTTTGCAAGTGAGAAGAGGTGGAGTAGGAGACCTCATGGAGCTGTCTCAGATGACACTTGTTCTCCTAGGAGGCTCCTGGCGCCAGCTCTGTTCTGCCCATCATTCCCCACACTTGCCTTCAACAGACTTAAGAGTGGGAGCTGCCCCTTGTCTCTTGCATGGCTAACCCACCACCTCTCCTGTCAGGATATTATATAAGATGGTCCATGATCCTCTCCTCTTAGAAAGGGTATATTGTTAGTGAGCATCTGAAAGCAGACCTGAGGAGAAGCACAGGCCACCCTGGGACTGCCCCATGCTGGTGGGCATGGATAGGGCCATTGTCAGGGTCTGGGTGCATTGAGAACCGGAAGTGGAGTCAGAGGGTTTGGTGACTCAGAATTGATTTTTTTTTCAAGGGACAGGGAGGGGGTGAAGAGAAGGGAGGGGGATGGGGAAAAAGCTGCTTTGCGCAGCTAAGATGTTTTTGTCATTAACCCAGAAACTGAGGTACAAGGGCAGCCTGTGCCCAATGAACAAGAACAGCCCCCGAGGCAGGGGAGAGGCTCACTTAGTTGACCAAGGAGACTTTGAAGATGCCAAAGGGCCTAAAGACAGTAGTCTCTGTCTTCTGTAAGCAGCCTATCAATGCAAGACCTGAGAAGCTGGGTATAACTTTTGACAGGGCTTTGGTAACTCAGCTGGAGCAAAATTGAGTTTATGGGGGAGGGGAGCTGGAGAGTATCTGGGGTG